TGTGCAGAATACATTCTGTGTCGATGACGTCAAACGGTGAGCTACTGGCGCTTATTTCTATAGTCTATAACGATATTAGCGTCCACAACAGCGAACGATATCATCTGTTTATTCAAAGCGCACACTCGTCTGCCGCTTTAAATTCATGAGCTCGTTACAGCAGGATGGATTCTGATTGGCTGTCAGTTTTTTATCGTTCATCAACTGGAGAAAAATCGTTTTGTAAGTGATTCCAACTATATCGTTTCTCTTTGTCTTTATCGTTATAGTTGTGGTGTGGACTCTGATATTCTTTAATATTGAAAACGATTTGTAGAACTATATAACGATAAAGATATCTTTACAGTTATCATCCTTTGTGTGAACGGGCCTTAATACTATAGAAAAGCACAAAGTTTTTCAGGTAGAGTGTTTTCAGCTTGTTTATTTTCATATAAAAATACGGCATGCAGTTGCATCAAACAATGGTATAAACATAATTCAATGTAAATTGTGATAATCGTAATTAATAATTGCAATTTTAAGGGAATAATCGACAATTATGATTTTTGTCATAATCGTGCAGCCCTAATATGTACTGACCTGTTTTCTATTTATTCACCAAAAATAAGACAAATTCCATGAAATTCCGCGGTATACAGTAAATTCCATTTTTATGACTGGATTCCGTTATTCCGTCCATGTTTTCTGCATCGCGAAAAATCATAGGGCCCTACTAATGTAGCAAACGAATATGATAAGCTCATTGTGAGAGTAAAAGATGGGGACATTGTTGTTTATTTATTTAGCATTGAGTCTCTTCAACTAGGTGACAACGTAGCGTTAAATCACCATTCAACAAACTCAAGCCACCCCCGCACTGCCGTCTATTCGGCTTTCAATCTGCTACATTACTGACTGTACTGACAAACTATGCTGACACACCGTGTCTGTGCCGCAACAGGACTCGACAAAGCGACCGTTGAAAATCATTTGAGCTTTGTGTCAGCACGTCATAAATAGAACGAGGCATCAGTTTACTGTATCCAGTGTAGACAACATCACTGATTATAACGGGTTCTACTCTACACAGGACGCGAGCGGTGCGGCACGACAAAATACAATAGAACTCTATTGAATTTCATTCTGTTTTTGCTTCAAATTGGGTTATTATTAAATCAAATTCTGTATATGAAATTATATAACTAAATGATATGTATATGAATTATATATCTAAAATTAAATAACTGTAATTACAGATTTAGGTTAAATAAAGATGTCAGTCTTGATTTTTCTTCTTTTTAGGAAACAAATCAAAGAAAAAAATAAACAAATTCTACTGTTCCTAATATTCTGTATGTTGCTCAAAAACTAAATATATTGCGTTCAGTGGAAATTTTTTTTTTATTTTTTACCCAGTCATTTAAAAATAACACATTTTATAGATGTAACGACAATACCGTGATACCGTGATATTTTTGCTTAAGGCTATCATACCATCAAAATCTCATACCGGCCCATGCCTAATATCGGCTAAACGATATATCGGTCGGGCTCTAGATAAAGCATCCAAAGTCTTTATATTATAAATGTGGTTTAAATCAGAAATAGCAGCAATGAAATTTGATGCACACAGTGAAAATCTCAATAAAACTTTTACACAGAAAGTTCTGCAAGCCTCAACACAAACTCAGACTAGGTGCCAAACAACAAACAGGAACAGGAAATGGCAGCACTGCAAACACACACACAACAACCTAAGTATTTTATGAAAATATTGAATGAAAACCACATTTTCTTCAGAAAAATTAGTTTTAGCGAAATTAGTGTTCATTCATAAACGTTGCATTCAAATTTATGAAAAGAAAAATGAAAAACTGTATGCATTTGCGCAGATACCCAGTGACAACAAATTTCATTTCTGTCACAGGCATCTTTCTTTGCATGAGTGAATATAACACAGGCGGGTTAAGGCCATGCTGTACCTTGTTTAGTCAGAGCATCTCTCAAGGCTGGAGTGATCATCTCTCTCTGCTCCTCCTCGGACTCGCTCTTCCTCACTCCATTCTGCTTTGACAGCTTCACCCTCTGAGAGTCCTCTTCATCTCCTTCCATCCTCTGCAGCACATACAACCACAAAGAATAAAAAAAGACACGAAACCAGTCACATAAAAAAAACTTGTTCATTCATACAACCTAGTAGGGCTGCACGATTATGACAAAAATCATAATTGTCGATTATTCCCTTGAAATTGTAATTGCGCTTATTAATTACGCTTATCACAATTTACATTGAATGATGTTTATACCATTGTTTGATGCAACTGCATGCCATATTTTATATGAAAATAAACAAGCTGAAAACACTAACTGAAAAACCTTTAGTGCTTTTCTATAGTATTAAGCCTCAAATGTCAACTATACATCGGATTGGTTTCTTCTTTAAATTATAAAAAAAGTAAAAATATGAATGGTATTATAATGTTATTCTAAACCTAAAATTAAAATAATGGGAAAAACCCTTAAGATAACATGTAGAAAGAAAAAAAACACATCTTAAGCACGCAGAATAACCAAAGTCCCTTTAAGGCAAGTCATGTCACTCGGCGGCCATCTTTGAAATGCTTCTCAGGCATGCAAGTGCAGCTCCTATCTCTGAATGGGGAAACATCAAATTCTCCAAAACTGTTCACTAAGCTTATGATTAAATTTCATATTTGAAATCACCAATGAAATCTGACAACTGTATCATAAATGTTGTTTATTTTGATATCATCATGCAAAACTAAGAATTAGAATCATTGTAATGTGACGATCAAATATAGGTGCGGGTGGGTGGCGGGCGGGCGGACAATTTGAAGCAGCGTACTCGGGTGAAGTTTGAGCTCATCCGTGCATCTCTACTAAAAAAAATGGAGCTCGCTCTGCTTGACAAACTAAGTAATTACATCATTCAGAAGCATTTAATCTGCGGGCTTAGGCTCATATCAACCGATAATATCGGCTAGGCATGGGCCGATTACCGGTTTCAAGATATACCGCGATTTGAAAATTTCACGGTTTCAAAACCACTAATATTTTCCGTTATACCGTTCCTGTGGTATGCGCTGTTTTTCATGTGTCCTCAGAGACTGAAAATGTAGGAATCCCTCAGGTTGAGTGCAGTATAGAGAGTAACACGACCCTCCTCCTCCTGTTGGTGCAAGCGAGCGGTCAGTCACGTGTGTGCAGGATGGCCGAACTTAAGGAGCTTCCCCTGGAGTTTACGCGATAGGCAACCGGCCGTTTTTTGTCTTATTGCAAGCATCTCTGTTCTGGACTTGCACAAACTGCGTTGCAATGCAATCGTTTTCCAAAAAGTAATTTATGTGAAAGTATGAAGTCTGTAAACGCCCGTTAACACAGGCCAGAGACGTTGAAGACGGACGCACAGAGAAAAATACTGTAGCAGGCAGATCACTTACTGTTCATGATGCACGAACTATTGGAAGAAAATCCGTCAATATTGATTTGGGGTTTTATATGAACGTGTTTCTGAGGGGTCTTCAGAAAAGTTTACGTGGTATTTTCTTTTCATCTCGTCTCTGCATACTTCTTATTAAAGCAGTTTCAGCGCAGAGCTGCTTTGTTTACAGCAGTAACCAAGGAAACACTGTATCTGGTGTTCCATGAGCGCCTCCTGCTGTCAGAGAGTGAATTTAGAGCTTCTGCTGTTTGTTTCGTTCAGGAATGTAGTATAATTTCACAAAGCTAGCCAGAACATTCTGTTTTTGCTTCAAATTGGGTTATTATTAAATCAAATTCTGTATATGAAATTATATAACAATGATATGTATATGAATTATATATCTAAAATTAAATAACTGTAATTACAGATTTAGGTTAAATAAAGATGTCAGTCTTGATTTTTCTTCTTTTTAGGAAACAAATCAAAGAAAAAAATAAACAAATTCTACTGTTCCTAATATTCTGTATGTTGCTCAAAAACTAAATATATTGCGTTCAGTGGAAATTTTTTTTTTATTTTTTACCCAGTCATTTAAAAATAACACATTTTATAGATGTAACGACAATACCGTGATACCGTGATATTTTTGCTTAAGGCTATCATACCATCAAAATCTCATACCGGCCCATGCCTAATATCGGCTAAACGATATATCGGTCGGGCTCTAGATAAAGCATCCAAAGTCTTTATATTATAAATGTGGTTTAAATCAGAAATAGCAGCAATGAAATTTGATGCACACAGTGAAAATCTCAATAAAACTTTTACACAGAAAGTTCTGCAAGCCTCAACACAAACTCAGACTAGGTGCCAAACAACAAACAGGAACAGGAAATGGCAGCACTGCAAACACACACACAACAACCTAAGTATTTTATGAAAATATTGAATGAAAACCACATTTTCTTCAGAAAAATTAGTTTTAGCGAAATTAGTGTTCATTCATAAACCAGTCATTTAAAAATAACACATTTTATAGATGTAACGACAATACCGTGATATTTTTGCTTAAGGTTATCATACCATCAAAATCTCATACCGGCCCATGCCTAATATCGGCTAAACGATATATCGGTCGGGCTCTAGATAAAGCATCCAAAGTCTTTATATTATAAATGTGGTTTAAATCAGAAATAGCAGCAATGAAATTTGATGCACACAGTGAAAATCTCAATAAAACTTTTACACAGAAAGGAGTTCTGCAAGCCTTAACACAAACTCAGACTAGGTGCCAAACAACAAACAGGAACAGGAAATGGCAGCACTGCAAACACACACAACAATCTAAGTATTTTATGAAAATATTGAATGAAAACCACATTTTCTTCAGAAAAATTAGTTTTTAGCGAAATTAGTGTTCATTCATAAACGTTGCATTCAAATTTATGAAAAGAAAAATGAAAAACTGTATGCATTTGCGCAGATACCCAGTGACAACAAATTTCATTTCTGTCACAGGCATCTTTCTTTGCATGAGTGAATATAACACAGGCGGGTTAAGGCCATGCTGTACCTTGTTTAGTCAGAGCATCTCTCAAGGCTGGAGTGATCATCTCTCTCTGCTCCTCCTCGGACTCGCTCTTCCTCACTCCATTCTGCTTTGACAGCTTCACCCTCTGAGAGTCCTCTTCATCTCCTTCCATCCTCTGCAGCACATACAACCACAAAGAATAAAAAAAGACACGAAACCAGTCACATAAAAAAAACTTGTTCATTCATACAACCTAGTAGGGCTGCACGATTATGACAAAAATCATAATTGTCGATTATTCCCTTGAAATTGTAATTGCGCTTATTAATTACGATTATCACAATTTACATTGAATGATGTTTATACCATTGTTTGATGCAACTGCATGCCATATTTTATATGAAAATAAACAAGCTGAAAACACTAACTGAAAAACCTTTAGTGCTTTTCTATAGTATTAAGCCTCAAATGTCAACTATACATCGGATTGGTTTCTTCTTTAAATTATAAAAAAAGTAAAAATATGAATGCTATTATAATGTTATTCTAAACCTAAAATTAAAATAATGGGAAAACCCCTTCAGATAACATGTAGAAAGAAAAAAAACACATCTTAAGCACGCAGAATAACCAAAGTCCCTTTAAGGCAAGTCATGTCACTCGGCGGCCATCTTTGAAATGCTTCTCAGGCATGCAAGTGCAGCTCCTATCTCTGAATGGGGAAACATCAAATTCTCCAAAACTGTTCACTAAGCTTATGATTAAATTTCATATTTGAAATCACCAATGAAATCTGACAACTGTATCATAAATGATGTTTATTTTGCTCAAATATCGTAAACAAAAAAAAGCTTATTTTTCAGGCTAGATCAGCTAGTGCGCATGCACAGTCCTAATCACACGTCTCAGAGCATTGACCGTTTCTATAGCAACCGGGATGCTTCTAACAGCAGCTGCAGTGACGCGCTCATAACATAAATGGACTTTGAACGATTAATTGCCACTTTGAACGATTACGTAATTGTGGCATCCATAATTGTAATTGCGATGAGAAATTCGATTAATTGTGCAGCCCTACAACCTAGTCAGAGTTACACAACCAGTGGTGGTGCATCAGAGGAACCAAAAGAGGCTGAACCTTCAACATATTCAAGACGTACATAACTGAAGTGATTCTTTTTTAATTCAGTTTACTTGCGTGCATAACTCAGAAGCATATAATGATTTTTCTGTCATTCGATTTTTCTGTCATAGCTCAGGTGAGTTTTAATCATTGTACAACACCATAGAGTAGATCGATCAGCTGACAGCAGTGAAAATACATTTTATCAAAACATTTCCAGTTGAGAAAAAAAAAAACATACACATGTATAGCCTAACGAACAGACTGTAGCCTAATGTCACAGTTACTTTCTCATCAGCATCAAAGTTAATGAAGGAGGTTTCCTATTTATCGTATATCACATCACACATTTAAAAACTCCACATAGCTTAATTTCATATTGAACTGTAATTATGTAATAGATTGCATAAATCACAGGCTAGGAAACAGATGCTGCTTTGAAAATGATGGCACCGATGGGATGGTTTAAACAGAAATAACACTTACAGCCATATGGTTCTGATGAAGGTCTTGGACTACCATCACTGACCTTCAGCACTGAAGCGCTCTTATGTGAACAGACTGCATTAAACTTTATTGCGATTCCAGGCTGCAGAGTTTCCAGAATATACAATCAGCTGGAAATCAAGTCTGACTTATAGTTCCTGCTTCTTTTCCCTGAATGTTACTATTCCATATTTCTTCCCAAGTACACATGGCGGCATTAGCAATTTTTTCCACACTAAAAAGTCAGAGACAGTCTGGCTTCGGATTCAGACACAGTGCTGTATACAGCAGATGAAGGGAATAATCAGGCAAGCTGGACACCATAGGTCACATTAGATGCTGTACACAAAATATTCAAAGGACACGCAATAAATGTGCAGCATATAAAACCAAAGAGTGTAAAAAAAAAAATTTAATTACTAAAAAAAAAAAAAAACATAAAGGTCATGCTCTTACCATGCCCTAGATTAAATAATAGATTTATTAAATTGGTTTAAAATATTAATAAAATATTTATTTTTATTAATTAAAAAAAAAAAACGGATAGCACTTTTGCTTATTTAGGTTTAAAGTAGGGATGCACCGATACCACTTTTTCCAGTACTCGCCCGATACCGATACTTTTATTTTTGGTACAGTGTACCGATACCAATATTTTTATTGCATTTGTAAATTTTTTAAATATTGGGTACAGAAACCAAAAGAGTATGTATAAGGTTAGTTGGTTAACTTTATTTATCAAATAGATACAGTCAAACCTAAATTTATTCAGACACCTTCAACATTTCTCACATTATCACAGTTTATTCGCTATAGTTTAGAAAATGGTAATAAAATATGACAAGAACACAGAGTTAAACGGAGTCAGAACAAATTCAGCTTGATAATGTTAGATACATTTGATAGAAAGGTATGTAATGGACTACAATCAACCAAAAATTAGACAGCTGTTAGTATGACGGTATTTACACAGCTATCAATACTTAGTCGGGCGACCCTTATCCTTAATGACAGCCTGTAGTCTCCTGGGCATGCTGTCATCCAGCTTCATGCAAACCTCAACTTCAGTTTTTTTTCCCCAGACTCGGTCTAAATAATATTTGGTCCCAAATTTGTATCAGTTTTACTGGTAGTCCACTATATGAAGAATTTTTGGGTATAATTTGTCACAGTTTACTTTATTTTGCTATCCTCACTTACATAAATGAACTATAGTGTCCTGCACCCACTAGTAAAAAAATATCAAAAATTATATCTGGTCTCTGAATAATTTTTGGTTTGACTGTATATCCTTCTGTTATTTTCACACTTAATTATGCCCATTAAAATGTATTTTACACGTTTTAGTTACTTTCACTGTTAATGTTTTGCTCTGTGGTACATCATCTTTATTTTAATAGCATTAGAGGGAACCACTAAAAAAAATCTCCCAACTGTGATATTTTCAGAAATAGAAGTCGCATTTTTTTTTCATCTGAAACGTGCTGCGATTTATATTCCAAAGCCTCTCATATAATGCAGAAACATTTAGCTTTCGCCAGAAAGTCGTGTATGCCTAAGGTTAAAAATAAATGACATTTATAGTGAATGCCCCTATAAATGGTCTTATTTTTATGATTTAGTTTTAATCCAAATGATGCGTGTGCTAAGTGAGTGAACATCAAAGATCACGCAACAAAATTGCGCGCGCTCTCGCTCTCTCTCTCTGTCTCCCTCCCTACCGTTAAGTAACTTGTGCATTGTTTTACTTACTTGTTTTTATATTCACTTTTAGTTTAATCCGCACAGACAGCGGGATTTCAGGATAATATCTTACATAGGAGCTTAAAAGAAACAGTTCACCTAAAAATACAAAAATAGTCATTATCTACTCACTCTGTTCCAAAATGTAACGCAGCTACACCATGGAATACAAAAAGGAATATTTCTGTTGGAATCTACATGGCTTTAACAGTTACATGACCTTTGTGTGAAGATAAGATAAGATAGATTTTTTTTTTTAATTAATAACGCTATTTTTAAAATTTAATAATTAACACTTTGATTCAGTAATGATGCATTAAATTGATCAAAAGTGACAGTAAAGACAATTATTATGTTACAACAGATATTTATTTTAAATAAATACTGTTGTAATAAATGTTTATTGAAACTCAGTGATCACAGTTCACAGTTACGCAAGTCCTCCCAGCGCCTGCTGGAGCTGCTGTCTGCTGTAGCAAACCATCTGCCACTCAGTCTCCTTCAATGGAGCCATAGCCTGTGTCTCTCCAGTACTCGGTCCTTTTAAAGGATTAGTTTGCCCAACTCTGCCATTATTTACTCACCCTCATGTCAGTACAAAATCAGTCACTGTCATTTTTTCATGCCACACAATGACAACTCAGAGATCACATCATGCTCCAAAATAGCAAAATGGTCCATACTATGCATACGCTACATTCCAAGTCCCCTGAAGTCAAACGATAGCTCTGTGCAAGGAAAAGATCAAATTTAAAGGCATAGTTTAACTAAAAATTTAAATTACTTATACCGCATGTTATTCCAAAACCATTCGATTTTGGAAAGCTTTCCCTTTGCCAAAGCTTATGTCTAGATTCAAAAATACTGTGTTGACACTAAAGGGACAGTTCACCCAAAAATTTAAATTCTGTCATTATTTACACACTCGTGTCATTCCAAACCTGCATGAGTTTCTTTCTTCTGCTGAGAACAAAGTTACATACAAATACAGTTATGCACAAACTGTGAGTAAACACAGTCAGCCCTCTACGAACACCTTGGCAATTGAATCGCCATCGGCTAGTACATTTTTTAGTTTACTCGCCAGACTGATAAATAAGTAAATAAATGTTTGTTTGTAAAATGGCACAGTTTTATAAATATCTGAAAGTACACTCTTAACATCAGTCAGTCAAGCATCATAATATGATAATCAATATTATTTAATGATAGAACTTTAGTAATTAGAATTAAAACTTGATAACCATGTATGAATGCATATTAGTCATTTTAACTGAACTTCGGACTGGTGGTGGTGCTTTTTTGGTCATTCAGTGTTTCTGTAAAAAAAATAAAAATTGGGGAAAAACTAACAAAAATGCTGATAAGATAATAATGATACGAATTCTACTAATAAGAACAATATAAAACTAATAAGAACAATATAAAACGCACCAAGGATTAATGAGCTACTGGATTCATGAATATTAATCAGGTTGTGTGCGTTCGCTCGAACTGATTTGCTGAAATCAAAACAGGGACGATAATAGGTGAGCACCAGCCAATGAGATTGCCGTTTGAGCATTAGTTCCGCCCACTACCGGAGAAAGCGGTAGTTCTTAAGCGGTAGTCAATTCTGTCTCTCCCTCTCTCGCTGCGTGTGTGTGAAACAAAGCGACGGCGAGTCATGCACCTTCACATTAGAGTTTACGGTACGTTAAATACAGGTGTGTTGCACATCCATTCAGATGAACTGAAAAACAGCACAGATCGCTTGGCGGAGAGTGAAATTCTGATGCGCTCAGTCAGAGAGTGTTCGGCGAGTGAAAATATATCTGAGCTAAACTTATACTTAGCCTCACACACTGGCGAATAAAATATGAGAATTTATTAGCAATTGGCTAATATTAGACATCATTTAGTTGCCCAGAGTGAAGATTTAATCGCATATGTGAGCGATTTACTCGCAATGTAGAGGGTTGGTGCAGCTGGTTTTGTTTTTACCTTGGCTTTCTTCATATGATTCATCACATTCCCAAGGTCCTCCACATCGATGACGGAGCCATGAGACTTCTCTTCCTCAGAGGAGGACTCTGCATCACTGCTGGACTCCATCAGCTCCTCCTGGAAACAAACAAACAAAAAAAACTGTAAGCTTTGGGGAGCACATCTACATTATATCTTACCCATGAAATGGTTCATGAGCCCAAAGAAGTGCAGCTGAATGGCTGTACACACTGTGGGTACCATGAGCACTCCGACTGACAAGAGAAACGTTTTCTCTGCAAATATTTCAGCAGTTATTATGTGTGTCCTGTATTTTTGTCAAGTGAACCAGTGATGGCAATAACTCGTGAATTAATGATTCTTTTGAGTCAGTTCTTTCTCTCCAGTGAGTTGGCTAAATGGGTTTGCAAAAAGCTCTGAACTGATTTATTTGGACCGCTCTCTCACAGAATCAACTGAAGGAATTTCCTCATCAGTGAAGCCGAAAGTATCACGATACTTAAGATGACAGAGAGCAAAGAGCATGGGATGAAGTAGATAATCACCTTCAATAAAAAAATTTTTTAGATGTTCAAAAAGTACCAACACATAAATCACTTCAAGTTTTATATTTAAAAATCAACAAACAACAAATAAAATGATTTTTTGTTTGCATTAAGGCTGCACGATAAATCACATGCGATATTTAATGCGCATCTTGTCAGTAAAGCTGCTTCTGTAATCAGCGGTAAATCTCCATCACGTGCGTGCTTTCACATGAAGCAGCATTTAATACACAGAGCCGTTGTTCACTGACAAGTTGCGCAAAACCGCGATCATATATGAACGTGGTTTTGCACAGCTTGTCTGTTTAAGTGAGATACACAAACTCAGATGTTTCTTTTTTGTTAAACCAGATGTTGCCAAAGATTTCATTTGGGGACATAATTTGAAGTTGGAAAAAGGTAATAAATTGCAATATATCGCACAATTTCGCAATATATTTATAATCGCAATAATATTGTATTGTGATAATATCGTATCGTGGGGCCTCTGGTGATTCCCACCCCCAATTAGCAGTCATTTGTTTTGTTTCATTCGTCTCTCTAGTCAGTGGAAACATTTCCGAAAGCACTCAAGTAATGGCCCTTTGGAATGTAATCCAGAGCCAGATGTCCGAGTTATGTCGATTATGTCCAAAAGGGGAAAAATGGGGTCAGTTTTGATTTCATGTGTCTTTAAGGTTATTAAATGCAATCATTTATATGACTTAAAGGGGCTTAACTTTATGACAATGATGTTTCCTAAAAGTATTTGAGTAAAGAATATGAGAGGGACATCTAAGAGAATAAAATTTCCTCCGAAGTCAGTAATGTTACCCCTGCTGTTCAGATCCCATTTACATGAGTGCACCACAGACTGCAGGGGAACAATCTGCTCTCAGGATGTGCAGTGCAAGAGCTGTTACCATGACTACATGTGTTCAAAGACATTAGAGAGGAGGGCTGGCTTGCCTCAGAGTTGTTCTTCTCAGCGAGCGAGTGGCTGTCCTCTGCCTCCTCCTTATGTTTCTTCTTATTCTTGCAGCTGCCGTTCTTGCATTTGCCAGAGCAGGCTTTCTTCTCCCCTTTGGCCAGGGCCTGCAGCCGGCTCAGGAACTTCATTTTCCAGGCCTGGAAGTCGGCCTGCACGCTGCCGTGTCGGCTCTTCACAACGTTGCAGTCGCCTTCTCCTCTGGTCATGATCCGTGCAGCGCTCAGCATCCACAACCACTTATCTATGTTCTTACTGACCTGAATACAGAAAATATATTTAGTGTAAGACTCAACACAATCCCATCAAAAATGGAGAGAAAAATGCAGGTGTGTCTCACCGTGTTATAATGGCCAACATAAACAGAGTTCCCCAGCCCAAAGACAGCGTATCTCATTCCCTTCAGGTAGGTTTTCCCATATCGGAAGTCTGTGGAGGCTTCCTCAAGCCATTTAGAGAACCATTCGGCACTCTCAGTGGGCTGCCCATCTGTGTATGTGGCCACCAGGAACACACAGATCATCTTGCTTGTGCACTAGAGAAAAATGATATGAGAGCATTAAGAAATATTTAACATGGTACTCATGGAAGCAGCTCTCTACTAAGAGCACAAAACGTAAGAAATGTCTGGGTCTTATTTCCCTAAAATCAAAAGAAAAAACAAACTTTTAATTTTGGGGTAAAATGTGATCTCGACATTTCTTGACCATTTCTGTTATTCACCTAAACTGTTCTTAATATTTAAAACAGAGCAAACATCATGAATAAACCATGCTATAAGCGGAGTTGTTATCGTAAACTAATACCATTAAAAAACCAAAAAAAATTCTACTTTTATTTTTGCAAAAAAAAAAACTAAAATAACTCAAACTAATAAATAAAAATTAAAAGCTATATAGAAATATTAAACATATTAAATATTTTAATTCTAATTAAAAACATTAGGAACATTAGGAAAACTATAATAGTATATCAATGATACTGAATAATAGTGCTTATAACACTGTATAAATGCTGAAAGGAGCAAAACTCCGGTCTTTTAGACTATGAGCTGTCCTGTGACAGATGTCTCCGCTTTGTTCCGATTCAGAGAATGAGAACAGACAAATTCAAATTCTATAAAAAAATATTCATTCATTCAAAGCATTTTTTTCTCAGTTTTACTGTTGATGTAGTTTTGCATTCTGCCTTTGTCTGTGCTATAGAAATCATTTAAGGAAACGAAAAAGATTAATTATGTTACTTTGCTCTTAATACTCTTGGGCCTGGTTTAGGCCATAATTCAATTAGGACATTTAAGTAGTTTTTATAAACATGCCTTAGAAATAAACATTACTGGTTTGCATCTTGAGAAAAAACAATGGCACTGACATATTTTAAGATATATCAGTTAGGGTGATCCTTATTGGGGGGGTAACATTTTTTTTATTGGAAATGTAAACTTCTCACTCCCTCATTTGTTTCTCCACTGGAAGTATGTAATGTATGCAAAATACCATCCAGATAATTTGTCATTTATGCTCAAAGAATGCATCTTTTTATCAACAGGTACTTCCAGATCTGAGAGGTGGTATTAGTGAAGGTTTTGTTTACTGATAAACTTTTGACTATTTCTGATATCAGACAGCCACTTTGCATAACCAGGATGAAGTATACTAGCTTGGAAGCAAGAAGGGGTCTTTAATAGGTTGCAAGCTTCCGTCCATTGGCGATGTTCTTCAAGTATATCTGCACCGAATGGCATGAAGCATAAAGCAGCAGTGCAGACCATGAAGGAGGTCCAAGACTTTTGGGAAAAGGCCCACATTCCCATAAGGCCTTTTCAGCATGCTGTGAAGAAGCTTGAAGACCCTGTAGGAAAATGGGAGGCCTTGAAGAAGAACAAGGGGCAAAGGAGCAAAACACAACCGTAGAACGAAGAAGAATTCAAGAAGACCTTGAATTATCTTTTTGACATTGCTCACCAAGACGCGCTGAAAATGATAAAGATCGCTGAAGATAGGGCATTTTTGGAGGCATAGCGTGAAAAGGGCAGACGGGGAAGCATGGTGGGAGCTGATGTAAAGCTGGCCAAGCAGGATGAGATAAAAGCAAAGCAAGAACAGAAGATGATGAAGTGGATTGAGAGAACTGTCGTGCTGGAGGCCTCTGCCGGAGAAAGTGAGGCGGAAGGAGCTGCTGCAGCAGCAGGTCCTAACAAGATGAGGAACTGTACAAGGGGAAGGAAGAACATTCTCAGTCCGGACGTCCTTTCAGCACTAGATCGAACCAAAACCAGCGATTATACACACACTGTCTGCTGTGCTCCATGCTTCCGGTCAGCGGGTCAATGAGTTCAATAATCAACCGCTCTTCTGTTCAGCGAGCTCGTCAACAATACCGTAAAAATCGCTTTGCGGAGCTCATGTCAGAGTTCTCTGGCAAAAAATGCCTAATGCTTCACTGGGACATAAAACTGATGGCTGAACTGAAAGGAGATGAGAAAGTGGACAGACTCCCCATCATTGTATCAGGAAGTGGCGTCGAACAGTTGCTGTGCATCCTCAAGTTGCCAGCTGGAACTGGACTATGGGATTACATCTCTGCCACAATTCTACGCGCGAATGATCATATTTTTGAGCGCGCAAAAGTGCGTTTTGCATGCACGTGATCTGAGTTTTGTGGAGAAAATGTTTGTCTCGCAAAGAAGAAAGCATTTCGAGCGCACGAAAATCAATTTTGCATTTAAAATAAGTTTTTGGATTTGTGCAGACCTTTTTTGCACGTGCAACGTTTCACTAGCTTGCTCACCTAATGCCGGCCCTCAGTGCTCTCTAAATGCCAACGGCTCCCTTGCTCAACACAACCCAATGTTACAATATGCCATAATTCCAGCCAATCAGAGACGAGGCTGCTAAATTCTGATTGGCTGCCTTGACAACCAATAACAACATTCCTGGACAGCAGAAGAGGAAAAATACAGTGCATGCATAATTATTATGCAAGTTGATATTCTGATCATATTTTTTTCCAAGCACATTTGACTAATTCCAAACGACATCAATCTTAATAATATTAATCTTGTATTTAATCATTTATAATTGATATATAATTATTCATGAAGGCTGGAAGTGAAAAATGTCTTATATTCAGGTGCGCATAATTATTAAGCAGATTTTCTTTTACAGATAAAATGAGCCAAAAAAAGAGATTTAACTCAGACTGAAAGTCAAAAATTATTAAATGCCCATGAGAAATATTCAAAACTAATACAATACTAGAAATTGCAAAGTTAATGCATAACCATTGGACAGCAAAATGCTCAGTGGGTCAGCAGGGTCAGTCAAAAACATGTGGAGAAGCAAAAGAATTAGGAATTAAGGTGAAGAATTAGGTGTGAAATCACCAGGAACCATTTAGTCTCCAGCGCCACCATTTTCTAGAACTGCAACCTACCTGTAGTCTCCAGAAGTACAAGGTGTCAGGTTCTCAGAGACTTAGGTTAAGTATAGAATCAGAAAATGACCCCTACTTAATAAGATTCACATACTGAAGTGTAGCAAAATACTTGAAGACTGATTTTTTTTATAGGCTTTATAGACAGATAAGTTGAGAGTGACTCTTGAAGGACCAGCACCACATCCTCTTGTACCACTGTTTGAAGAATTTATCTTCCAGAATCTGGCAGTAAGTTTTGGGAGTTCATTTTTAGTCCATCTCGAGATTTTATCTGGAGAAGATAGCCCGCTTAATAATTATGCACACCTGAATAAAAGGCGTTTTTCACTTCCAGCCTTCATGAACAATAATATTTATATAGGTTATAAGTGATTAAATACAAGATTAATAGCAGTTATTAAGATTGATGTTGTTTGGAATTATTAGTAAAATGTGCTTGGAAAAAAATATAAACAGATTATCAACTTGCATAATAATTATGCATGCAATGTACAGTATTTTCCCTCTTCCGCTGTCATCAGCAATGCAAGGAATGTTGTTATTGGTTGTCAAGGCAGCCAATCAGAATTTAGCAGCCTCGTCTCTGATTGCCCGGAATTATGGCATTTTGTAAGGCTGGGTTGTGTTGAGGAAGCCAGCCGTCGGCATTTAGAGAGCACTGAGGGCAGGCATCAGGTGAGCAAGCTAGTGAAACGTTGCACGCACAAAAGAGAAGGACTGCACACATCCAAAAACTTATTTTAAATGCAAAATTGATTTTAGTGTGCTCTAAATACTTTTTTCTTTGCGAAACGAACATTTTCTCCACAAAACTCAGATCACGCGTGTACAAAATGCACTTTTGCGCGCTCAAAATATGATCTTTCATGCGCAGAATTGTGGCAGAGATCTAATCCTATACTGGACAAGCACTGGCAGAAGCACTCCATGAAACAGTGTAAGAGGGGTTTGGAAAACTGGATTCAGTCTACTATGCTTCGACACAACCTCAAGCAATCCAGGCAGGAAGAACGGAGCTTGCGTGTTGTTTGAGTGGATACTGGGAAAAGATCTACTGCACTTGGCTTGCCACCACCATATTCATGAGATCATGTTGGAGGAAGTCTTTCGCATAACCATAGGTCCATCAACCGGTCCAGATATTGGCATCTTCAAGAGATTTGACAGAAACTGGGTCCAAATGGCCACGGTTAACTACAAGACCGGAATTGATGACAATGATGTTGCCAGTGCTTTGTAGAATGTAGCAGACAACATCCTTCAGTTCTGCTTCCAGCAGATAGAGGTAGTTCAACCTCGGGATGACTACCTTGAGCTGTTGGGGCTCACCATCATCTTCCTTGGGAGTGTCCCACCCAGAGGAGTTCGCTTCGCCAAACCAGGGGCAATGCATTGGGCTTGCTTCATGGCACGACTGATTTATGCCCTGAAGATTTTTGCCTTTCGAGACATCTTCCCGCTCACACAAGCTCAAAGGAATGAAGGAACTAGGTGTCTTTGGGGTGAAGCACTATGTAAAGTCTTGGTTCTGCTTCCGCCTCCCAATTGCTGCACCCAAAAATTGACCTCCTTAAGTCGATGGCTGCTTCAAATGACAAAGCTTCAAAGCGTGCCCTGAAAAAGCTGGTGAACCACCTCTGGTATCTCAGTGAGGAATTGGTTGCACTGGCCCCGTTTGATCCAGATGTCTCAGTGGAGGAAAAAAAAGACAATGGTTTCTGCAATGGAGACTGAAGTGGATGAGGAGCCAGAGAAGAGAGCGCATGTACACCTTCTAAGCATTGGAATGAAGGATTTGAGCAACTTTGTCACAAAGAACACTCGCAACTTCTTCATGATCTCCATCAGGAATTCCTACATGAAGATCCTGTTACCTGGGCAAACAATGCAACCTGCATCGCAGCTGAGGAGATTGCCAAGAGCCTGACGGTGACCAATGACATGGCAGAAAGAGGCATTGCGCTTACCCAAGAGTACAACAGACTCCTCTCAAAGACTGAAGAACAAACGCAGTTCATTATGCAGATTGTCAGAGAGCACCAAAATCTGTTTCCAGATGCCCGCAAAAGTAGTATGGTTGAAGGACTTGTCAGTTTGTCATAAATATCTAGATCAGATCTAAATTTAGTTCCTGTCATCAGTACAATAATTTCACTTTTTAACATTCTGCTTTTACGTATGCAAGAACTTTGTGGCTGAAGGACATGTCGGACTATCATCATGATCTGGATCGCCATTTTTTAAAGATCAGTTCTCATCAGCAGCGTTGTAATTAAACATTTTAAGACTAACAACAATGTCCTGTGTTCTCGTTTTTAACATAATTCACTGTTTACTAATGGTCTTGTACAATGCCGTTATGGTCATAAAGATGGAATTTTGTTGAGCAGACCCCAAATGTAGTCCAATCTCAGCTAAATTTGGTTTGTTCCCATTTCTCATGAAGGGGAGCTGACTGGGCGAGTGAGATCGGAAGATTTCAGAAGTCCAAAAATAAGAGCCACCCTAATGTCAGTGCAAGTTTATTTCAGTTAACACAGCCTAGACATGCATTTTAGTCTGGGACTTTGCTTAAAGCCTTTTCTGTGAAACCGGGGGTTGGAGTTTTAATATTTAAGCTCTGGTGAAATAAAAGGCTGGTAAATCATTTTACATTCTTCTCAGGGAGAAGTATTGTGATTTACAGGTAATATAGATCTTCTGGCTGGCAGTTAATGTTATCGGAGTAAATGGTAACTGAAAGATATGAAGCTTATAGTAATTCCTGTGATATTCTTAATGCTGAAAGTAGGGCTGCACAATTCATCGAAATTAAATCGCAAAGGCGATAAATCGCGATTAGGCAGAAGCTGTGATTGTCATGCGTATCTTTCAGAGAAGCACGGTTCTGTGATCAGCAGTAAATCTCCATCCGAAGGCCAGAGGGTGCTCTCACGCTGAAACTCCAAATATGCCCCGAAGAAGAAATCCAGGAAATGTCTATCGCTGCAGCTGAATAAACAGAAGATTTAACTGCTTTCATTGATTCAACGTGACTAATAAACACACGACTACAACAATATATGGTTTACCTGAGTTCGTCTTATTATAATTTTTATTATAATAAAGTATATGATAATGCAATGCTAATCGACATAGCCTTTATCACTGCTTAGAATATGATGAAATATGTTGCGTGCCTTATTCTGTGTAAGAAGCCACATCATCTCACAGAGGGATTTATTTAAAACACTCGACTGCTGTTATGAAGTGAGTTTGGAGTAAAAACATGTTATTAAATGTGGTGCTTTTCAATAAGGCACGTGTTTTCAGATGGAGCAGCATTTACTACACAGCCGTAGTTCACCGAGAAGCTACGCAAACAGCTTTCATAATCACAGAACGATTTCTTCAATTTCATAATCTCGCGATTAAATCGTCTGCGATTATGAACGCGATTTTGCGTAGCTTGTCAGTGAACTACGGCTCTGCATAGTAAATGCTGCTCCATCTGAAAGCACGTGCTGGAGATTTACTACTAATCACAGAACCGGCTTTACTGACAAGCATAACAATCACATTCGAATAATCGTGCATCCCTAGCTGAAAGTGAAATACTCATGCAAGCATGACAAATCCTGAAGTTTAAATCATCCATTTCTACTTCCTCGACTACATGCTACTGCAACAAAACAAAAAAATTTGAAGAAGTTGAAGTCAGCCTGTATGGGGCCAGTGAAGCACATGCTAAGCTCACCTCCTCAGTTAGTCTGTCCTCGGGGTCGTACTCTTTCATATCTATAACCTCACACTGGATCCCCTGAGCGCTGACGTCTCCAGCAAGCTCTTTTGCAAAACCCTAGGCAGAGTTAAAAATAGCAGTTCACAACCACATCACACAGTTGCATGTAATTCGTTCAAATTAATTAATTAAAAATGTATTATAATAATTACATTGGAGGTCAAAAACTTACAACTACAATGTGTTTTTGAAATAATTTAACATTTTTAAACTTTTTTTCAGGATTCTTTGAATAGAAAGCATTTATTTGAAATAGAAATCTTTTAACATTAACATTATAAATGTTTTACTGTCACTTTTTATCAATTGTAATGGAAAGGGTGACATCTGGTGGTGAATAAACGGAAGTCCATGAACCGAATTCGTCACATTAATGCATCCTTACTGAATTAAAAAAAAAAAATTAGACAATATATATATATATATATATATTTTTTTTTTTTAAATCTTACTCCACACTTTTGAATGGTAGCATATAACGGTTTCCACAAAAATATTGAGCAGCACAGCTGTTTTCAACATTGATAATAATAATAAATGTCGCTTGAGCATCAAATCAGCGTATTAGAATGATTTTTGAAGGATCATGTGACACGGAAGTCTGGAGTAATGATGCTGAAGATTCAGCTTTGTATCAAAGCAATAAATTACTTTTTAAAGTATACTGAAATAGAAAAGTTATTTCAAATTGTACAAATATTTCACAATATTTCTGTTTTAATCAAATAAATGCAGAATTCGTGAGCGCAAGAAATTTCTTTCAAAAACGTCCCTATTATTCCAATCTTTTGATCACCAGTGTATACAAACCTTTGCTGTTCCTGTCTGTGATCCATAGAACACTTTGACCCCAGAAACATGAATTACTTTTTCTGTTTCAGCTGAAAGTTCCTGCTTTTTTGCAGATTTATAAAGCCAAGGGCTTACAGGGTCGACCGTTTTTTCCTATAAAGGAAAAATACAATCTATTAAGTAGGTTGTGTGTACATTATTTATTAGCAACCATGAGAAAAAAAAACGAACAAATACTTTAAATAGCAGAGAGGCTTTAAGAGTAAACGCGCTTAATTACCTTTTTGAAAAGCATGTTCATAGTAAAGCAGACTCCTATGAGAACAGCAGCAGTAGTGTACACATATAACCTGTTCTGCCACACAGTCAGCAGGTAGCTCTCAGTGTAATCCCAAACATCATTCAAAACACCTGTGAAGGCACGGGAATAAAGTTTGCACACTTGACTTGTCGGGAACAATGGAAACAAACAATAAGCAACATCAGTTATTGATGAGATAGACAATCGATATAGAACAATGGGTCCCACTTTATATTAAGTGGCCTTAACTACGATGTACTTACATTTAAATTAATCATTTGGTACAATGCACTTATTGTGTACATTTTACATTGTACTTATAATTTTAAAATGCCTGCATGTAATTACATCTGTAATTACATTTATTATTACACTGTTGACCCATCCCTTACAACTTAACCTACCCTACCCAAACAATATGAACACATTAAGTACATTGTACTTATTTTTTGATGTAGGTACATAGTAGTTAAGGCCACTTAATATAAAGTGGGACTGAACAATGTCTCACAACTTAGTGAGCTGACTACTTAGACAGAATGTTTACCATTACAGCAGCGTTTAAAAACTGGAAAGGCGCCTGGGTTGTCCAAGAACGCTGTCTAGGTAGGAAGCACTAGGTTTTGAAACACAGCCTAGCCGAAAGAGGTAACTTACGACCCAGAATATTGAGTGTGCCGTGCAAAAATGAGTGCATGTGCAATTAAAGCATTGCCGTAATGTTAAACTACGATCTACGATTAGCAGTTTAATTTAACCCATTTTCTATCGGTTCTGCTGGTCACTTATCAGCCATGCATTGCAATATTGACCCACCTGACATCGCAGCGCTGACTGTAGAATACAGCAAACACGATAACAGCGCTAAAAACAACATCTTCTGTGGTCTATCAAACAGAAGGCGCTGTTTATACATTTATAACAGCAGTCTGCCAAGGATCTAACTTCATATGTCGCAAATACATAACAGGCTAACTTTACGACTGCATGTCGAAGGCCGCCGCCATATTGTTATGACAGGAATGCTGGGAAAATGAGTTCATCTTCGGTCATTTAACTCTCCACGTGAGTCTTCACTGCTTGAATTATTAATCATAATAATACGTATAGAATTTATTTAAATCGCGTAACAAACAATACGACAAAAGTAACATTATTATTATTGAAATAAGTTAATTCATTAATTAAAATAATGTTAATTACTAAATCAATTTCACATAAAACTAATTACAGCTTTCATTCTTATAGTGTATTCAAGTTTACAAATTCCACTTAAATACAAACAACTTTAATACAGATCATCCCACTCTGTAGTCCTTTATTAAACACAAAAAGCATGCTGAATGTTCTCTGAAAGACAATAAACACATTCAAGATGGATTATTATGCAAGACCCCTTATTAAATTAAATCTGCATATTTTGTAAAAATAGATATGTCTGTTGACTTAGTTGATATTTCTACTAGAAAACTCTTAAATCACAGACTCTGCGTCTTCTGCTGGTCTTTGCGCTTGTGACGGACAACTGCAAGTGTAGTGAAAAAGTTTCCCACAAACAGAACCAGAAAGCAGAAGCCACACATGGACACCTGCAGTAAAAAGTAATTGCAACTTCAAGATCGCCGTCTTGATTTATTCATAATCTTAGGTAAATGAGTGGATTCAACTTATTATTTTATTATGATGTTTTGGAAAGGTTTACAAAACAAAACTGACCTGCCATTCTTTACATTCAGGGATCTGAGCCATTCTGAACAGAGAAATACTGTTCCAAAGCTGCCAGAACTGTGACACATTGACCAAGATATACAGTCAAGTATTACTTTCTTATGGCAGTTCATATGCTGTTCCATTTTCAAAGATTTATTCTTTAAATATGACAAATTATACATTCTATAGAAAAAACTAATACTTTACATGGCCCAGGAAGAGAAAGGGAAGAAGAAATGTCAGTCCCGGCCACATCCACGACTGAAATCCCTCTAGCTATTTGCTATAAAAGCTTTACACTCTCAGATTTCTTTCCCCCGGTGCTTTTAGCCTGTAGAGACGCCCACTTTGATAGTAGTACTGAAGATACTGCACAAAGCCTGCAAGAGAAAGTGAATTATGTCTTCAGAACCTCTCAGTATTGCAGTGTTGGTATTTTTGCCACAATAGATGTTTTACAAGGTGGTGTATCCATGAAGAGTTTGTAACTTACTTTGATATAAACAATAGGCCAGAAATTGGTTCCTGAAAGACTGGTATGTTTCACCGTCTGGTCTACATATACAACAGAAGTGTCGTTTGAGGGCAAGCCAACCAGCAATTCACTGATTCATAACTCATTTTAATGCTGATCAGGGTTATCGCTGAGATACTATTACAGTTTTTATTAATATTTTGAATTGGTTGCAATTTTTATATTTCCCTTTTTTCATTTAAAATTTTAGTTAAAGTTTTAGTAATTGTGTTTTTTCATTGTTGTTGTTTTTTATGTATTTATTTATGTCATTTATTAAGTTTAGTCCGGTTATAGTGTTAGTTATTTAGTACATCAAGATAAACAAAATGAAAATGGGAAGTGTTGCCTTGGCAACTAGCTGGGGGAAAAAAGAAAAAAAAGTTAAATTTTTACGTTATTTCTTATTCCGTTAAGTTGATTTTATTTCAAGTAACAAAATAGGATTTATGGTTTTAGTTAACTATAATTATAACCTTATGCTGATGCATTTAAAATCAATAAAAAAAGTGTGCCTATAGTTTTTAGACTCCTTTTGAATGGTTTACAGGTTTAATGTTATTTATTATTATTTTAACTTAGCTCATTTTAATTTAAGGATTTAGTTATGTGCTTTTGTCAATTGTAGTTTTTCCCCCATTTCTATTTAGCGTTATTTTAATTTTAGTAATTGTATTACTTCAACTTAAAATTATTTATTTTAGTTTGTTGCTATGGCAACATTTCTAATTGTATAGTAGCCTTAGTTGTCATCTAATATTAATATTTTATTTTCAGATTCATTACTATTACAGATTTTTAATAGTTTTACCAATAACAAAACTGATGTGTTGCTTTCGTCAAGATGTAATAACTTGCTCTTCCTCTTAATAATATCTGTCCATTTCCATGGTGTCACTTTGGCTGTGGAAACACTTCACAAGATCCAGCTGATACACACCTTACAACTTACAACGCAGTTTGAGTCAAAAGTGCATCACACTACAAAAATAGCATCTGAGTGACAATTAATGTTGATTTTTAAGGCCAAACTTGAATAGGTACAGTAACAGGTCTGAAATGAATAGTTTGAAATGACTCACCAGGTTAGCGTGACTCCAGACAGAAAGGTGGAAATGTAGTGATGGAAAACCCACCAGCCTTTAATCCTAAAAAAAAATCAAAGGTAGTACATAATGGCACAAGCCAAAAAGAGAAGGGCCTTGAGACAGCTTATTAAACCCATTACTAATCAAAAATTTCTAGTTTGACAGCAGCAACGTCAAATCTTCAAACCTGAAAATCTCTTACATAGTTTCATCTGACAGTTTCTGACCTGGATCCATTGCTGATGAGAATGCTTTCACGAATCGTCAGTGTGCAATAGTACCAAACCAAGAGGAAGTTAAGAAGCACATTCACAACTCTACAGACACACAACAAAGGCAGGCACGAAATGTGATGTGAGGGAAAGCTTGTCAGCTAGACCTGTGTGAACTCAGCCTTACCTGTAGCTGATGAAGAAGCGACATGCAAAGGTCAGCAGGAACAAAGTCACGGTCACATACAGCTTGAACCTTTATACTCATCTTTGTGTTCAGCTCTACAATAAAACGTTTACAGTTATAAACACAAAAGCAATAAATTGAGGTAAATTGTATTTATTTGTTTATTTATTCAAGGTTTAAATAAATGTAAATGAGTTGTTCTATTTTGTTGTAAATTCTTTGTTTAAATAAATATCATTTAGTTATTTTTTTAAATGATAAATGTACTTTTTCTTAAATTGTAAACACAAAACCTATTTGCCAATGGTGCAAGAGAACTCCAGATATATTCTCTGAAAACAAGCCTTAATGTCTTATGAAAAATAATATATCTTTATGGAGATATTTTGAAAATAATGTTGTGTGTGTGTGAGTGAGTGAGTGAGCATAAAGTTAACATTAAGTTGCAAATCTACTGTACACACAATAACAAGCCTTAATGTTTTATGAAAAATAAATAATGTATCCTTTGAGATATTTTTATCATATTTACATTTTTTTGTGTGTGTGTGTGTGTGTGTGCGCGTGCATAATGTTAGCATAAAGTTACAAATTGACTGTATACACAGTATTTAAATATTACTTTTTTGGTGATTACTTGGCCTCTTTGATTGGAAGGTTGACATTCACACTCCCAAGGACCAGACTGAATTAAATCCTTGAAAAGATAAGCAAATATACATATATATATTATTCTGATAACAAAGCTTAGTTGAAAATGTTTTTGCATAATCTTTCAGTACCCATTTTTCTTCGGAAGAAATGCTTCCATTTGAAAGATTAGGTTTGGATGTGATCTTTGGCCTTCTTAACCTCATTCTTCTTCTCTTCTGCCTTTGAATTCTCCTTTAAATTATTTTTCTGTCGAGCTATGGAGGCAGCAAAGCTCTTTTGAAGTTTGGAGATTTCCTCTAACTTCTGCAGATAAAGCCGTTGGGTCTCCTGGACACAGACATGCTTTATTTAGTGAAGGTCTATTGTGTTATATGGACATTAAGGATAAATTAAGAAAGATAATTTACTACCTGAAGCTGCTGCAGTTCTTTCTCTTGAGTCTTCCATTCTTGAAGGGCTGTTGTGCTGTCGACATGTAGAACTTTATCAGTTACAGCTACTCAGTTGAACTAACCAGGCTCCTCTTTCTTATATTACTAGGCAAATTCACTAAAAACCAGCTGTGATGGAAACACAGCAATGTCTTAAATGCTGATTTCTATGCCGTATTTAAAGAGAGCTTCAGTTTAGAAGCATTTCAATTGACAATCTTTGTCATATATCTGATTTCTTAGCGATTGCAATATAGGCTTGAACTTTGTAGTGAACTTTGACAGACCATCTTGACTGACCTTTGACACACTTGGTTGCTTGCACTTTATAGGAAAGGCTACTTTATTAGGGCAACACTGTGAATTCTGGGGGGAAAAGTTGAATTGTGTTTATTACAGACATTTCATTGCACATCTAAATAGATTAATTTTTTAAGTTTTTAAAACATTAGAGACATAATCACATAAGCCATAAA